TGTTGTGATTTGGCTCCATGTAACTAAAACTTAACTGATGAAATTAAATTGAACTAAAAAAAAATCACGTTGCTAAACCTGCTAACTTAAGACTCCGCCCTCTCATGAAAACATTACTTCTGACGTGAAAAGAACAACAACATGGAGACAAAGTGGCAAAGTGGAGGTTTCAAAATATGAATGAAGATATTTTCTAAAGCCGTTGTTTCATTTTCTTGCACAGACACTAAAACACAAGTTTTAAAACCGTCTCATCCAAAAATGACTGAGGCGACACGGATACTTGAGAAACTGAATCTGACAGTTGTCACCTGTCACCTCAAAAACAGGACCCTTCATTATATTTCTGGGTGTCAATGTAACACAATCCTTCAGCGATCATTTCTCAGCACCTTTAGGAACAGAAACTGGATGCAACAGTAAAAGTTTGTCGGGCTGAATGTTTGCTTGTGTGTTTGTGTGTGTCCCTGCCTTGTGTCTGATAGTTGAGTCTCCTCATCTCCACAGGATCTGACGAGTGGGCCAGCAGCGAGTCCTTCACTCCTGCCATGTGCTCATCCTTGGCTGGAGACGTTCGTTTCCTGGAGAAAAAGCAAAACCAATTTAATGTTACATGATGTACCAACAGGCCAAATGGGTATTAATGACTCCGAATGAGCAAATTTCTAAACTTTATTTTCTGGAAAATACTGGGAAAAAATAATCTGCAACAAGCTATTGTGCAAAAAACTATAAGGATTACACGTAATTTGAGCATACTTTATAGATGATGGAAACTTTGGCTGCAAGCAGAACTGGTTTACTCTGACTTTCCAATTTTATAGGAATTTTAATGTATTTGTTTTAAATTGTATTTTATGGCCCAAGAAAAGTATCTACTAAACAATAAACACAGACTTAAAATCAGTAACAATATAATTCCTGAAACAGACCAGCAACCTAAGGTTGACTCAGTCACTTGACTGGATACGTGAATAAAACCTGTCGATGGGTAACAATGTGTCCAGTCTTGGTTCCTGATGCCAGGGTTGCACAGAATTTCAGCTAAAACCCTCTCAAAGAAGACGCTCAAAGAAGACGCTGAAGGCGTCATACCATCAAAAGAACATTAAGAATTGATTAAAAAGTGAAAGGTGGCGAGCCAGAAAAATACATCCTGTTATATCTCAATTTGGTTGAAAGGGCGTCTTTTATTTCTCAGCACCTACTACACCTACACTTACTAAGCTACCTGTTAAACTCTCTGAATTCCATAAACAGGTCCTTCTTTATTGGAAAATGTTATTTAAACATAATTTCACTCCACATAATAGCCCAATTTGGA